AAAACCCCAATGACACCGGTCAGCATATCAACAGTGCTGGAAGGCAGAAACACCAAAATTACATTTTTTAAGTGCCAAAGAAGAACCGCCGTCATACCTGAATATTGTAACTAGCCAAACTAGGAATTAAATGTGAGGCTAGAATTAAGACATTTGCAAGTTGGCAAGATCTCCAAAAAAAACCCAAAACAACAACAACAAAAAACACCTTTCTCTAGAAGGTTCCATGTTTTCTTGCTGCCAGCCATTTCCTATGTTGGCATTCGCTTACATTACTTATTAGGCCACTGGCCACTTTTCTTTTTTTTTCAGCTGAACTCGTGTCCATTCTGGAAGGGCTTTCTGTTCCTGCCAGTAGGGGGCAGTCTTCCCACCCTGATGCTCCTGACTCCCCTACAGTATTTCTACTCTATTAACATGATCTAAGGCCAAGACTTTTTTCTCCCCAAACAAACAGGAAAAGCTTTCTGCAGTCTGCTTATTTCTTTTTTGTGGTTCTGGCCTTGTAGCCTGTGTACTCACCAACGGTGCCTAATACAATTTCCCCACCAAGGTGCTATGCACCAATGAGAGAACAGTCAATTTAAAATTTCACGTTAATCCATTCTACTAAGAAGACTGCACTGAGCCTACTTCAAGTCTGTGCCAATCCCTTCCACATTCGGACTTCCTAACTCTGAGTCTCTGCTCCTAGAGCAGAAGGCATCAGTTCTGGGGAGTAAGAGCGAAAAGAAAAAAGTTATTCTTTCAATTAACCAAAAAAAAAAAAAAAAGATGGTCCGATGACCCAGCAATTTCACTCCTAGATATATACGAATGAGAAATGGAAACATATGTTCATGCAAAAACTTGTACGCGAATGTTCATCACAGCATTATTCACAATAGCTTAAAGTGGAAACAAACCAGATGTCCACAGAACGATAATGGATAAATATATACATACAATGGAATATTACTGGGCAAAAAACAGGACTGAGGTACTGACATATACTGTAGCAGGGTGAACGCAGAAAACATCCCTAAAGGAAGGTAGCCAGTCGCAACAGACCACCTACCGCACGATTCCATTTATATGCAAGATCTACAGAGACGGAAGGTTGGAGAGTGGCTAGGACTGGGGGGCTTGGGAAAAAGGTGCTCGAGTGCTAGCTCAGAGCATGGGATTTCTTTAAGGGGCAATGAAAATGTTCCACAGTTGATCGTAACGATGGTTGCACACCTCTGTGAATATTCCCCAAACCACCAAATTGTATATTTTAAGTGCGTGAATGAATTACACCCCAATAAAGAGGCCTTTCAAAAAAGATCACTCTGGGAGTAAATTAAGTTCATGTACTACTTGTCTCAAAGGCAAAAAAATCAAAGAGCACCAGCTTAAATAAGGCAAGATTTGCAAAGAACGGCAGAACTGAAAAGGAACAAAACAAAACGTGCCTTTGGGATGAAAACACCAAGTTAAATAAAAAAAAAAAAATCAGGTCAGCTGATTTTTCTTTGTCTGAAAATTAATACATAATTTGTTCACTGTAGAGTTTACCAGTTGAAGAGAAACCATAATGAAAAGTACTGGCTTTTACTGGAATCAACGGAGTGCCTGGTTAGAGAACCTTTTGTAGGTCACTTAATTTCAAAAGGCAACGTCTCTAGTTGTACTCCTCGCCCCATCGCCTTATTTCACAGACCCGTTCTTGAGGGCAATTAATGGGTAATGTCGTTCTTACTTAAAGAGGGCCAAGATCTGAAAAGGCTGCTGCGGTTTATTCCAGGCCCTCTCCCAGGGATCTCACCGCACGTGATCCGCGGGGGCAGTAAGATACAGCGCCCACTGAGAAAGTCTGCCGGAGGGATGCTATCTATAATGATTACAACAGAAGTGTGGGAAACTTTTGATTCTTCCAAGATGGTCGTGCAAAGTGTTTTCGACTATCTAAAATTAAACGATGAATTCATGTATTTTTAAACTTTAAAAGCTTCCTTTTAAAATAGGGCCCACAAAGTCGTACTGACATAAAGGCCTGGTGGGAGGGGAAGGGAGAAAATAAGCTAATCAGGGGCACCTGGCGGCGGACTCCGTCAGAAGGGCACTCGACTCTTGATCTCAGGGTCTTGAGTTCAAGCCCCACGCTGCCTGCAGAGATTATTTAAGAATAAAATCTTTTTTTTTTTTTTTTAAAGATTATACTTACTCGTTTGACAGAGAGAGAGAAAGAGAGAGCGAGCGAGCACAGTAGGCAAAGCAGCCGGCAGAGGGAGAGGGAGAAACAGGATCCCCGCAGAACAGGGAGCCCAAAGCTCTCCTATCCCAGGGCCCTGGGATCATGACCTGAGCCGAAGCAGAGGTTCAACAACTGAGCCACCCAGGCACCCCAAGAATAAAATCTTAAAAAAAAACAACAACAAAACAAAACAATAAGCTAATGAAAAAGCCATCTCCAAGCCCTCTTTTGCATTTCTTCTTCAGAGGTCCTAGAATTAATAAACCAGACCTACCAAGCCATGAGTTTCACATAAAGCACACTTAAATCCTAGTCCTTCCATGGTCTTTCAGAATATATTCAAATTCTCACCTATCCTAGTGTAACTCATTTGAATACATCAAAGGTTTAAGACAGGGACCTAATGGGGCACCTGTTGTTTAAGTGTCCCATTCTTGGTTTCAACCTAGGTCAGGATCTCTGGGTCATGAGATCAAGCCCTGCATCCAGCTCCTCCTTAAGCCCTGAGTCTGCTTAAGATTCTTTCTGCCTTCCCCTCTGCACCCCCTGCTCCTGCTCTCTCTAAAATAAATAGATAAATCTTAAAACAAAAAACAAAAAAACCCTAATTTTAAGGAAGAAAAATGGATGTCAATAAACCATTTTCATTAAACAGAAAACGTTTTGATTGTTTTGCCTTGGTTTTAAATTATCTTCATTTTTCTTTCATCTTCTACGTTATTTGTAATCATAAACTTTTTAGTCTGTATGACAAGTAACATGAACCTGGTTTGATTTGGGAAACAGGATTTTGGTCCATGCTGGTTAAAAGATATTTAAAATTTCTACACAGCTGGGTCACTTTAACTGAGGGCTTACAACACACAGTTATGGACAAAAACTCCCCAACCAGATAACTAAAGACTTTGAAAACCAAACCTATAAAGACAGTGGATTATATGATCATGTGATACGAATCTGAGAAACTGGTTAATTTTGGTATGTGAAAATCACATGAATAAATTAGTGCAAATAAAACACTTATTTCTGGAACACAGACTGTTATTTTTTTTCCCAGACTCTTCTTTGCACCCCGATACAAAATACAAGGATTCAGATTCTCAATCTCGACATATATTAGTTACACTGCAAACATGTGGCAACAAACTTCACTAGGCATACCTGTTGTTTTTCTCCATTAATTTTATATTTTTTTAATTGTGTAAGAACATTTCACAAGCAATCTACCCTTTTAACATACGAAGTGCTACATACAGTTGTGCTAACTCTAGGCACCACGTTGTACAACAGATCTCTTGAATTTATTCATCTTGCATAACTGCAACTTTCTGTTGATTAGCAACTCGCCACTTCCTCCTCCACCTCTTCCTCCTCTTCCCAGCCCCTGGCAACCACCGTGCCCCTCTCTGCTTCTAGGAGTGTGACTGCTTTAGATGCCTCCTCTAAGTGGAATCACACAGGGTTCATCCCTCTGCGATTGGCTTATTTCACGGAGCATTATGTCCTCCAGCTTCATCCATAGTGTCTCCCCGTAATGTTTTAGATGGGGGACACCTGGAAGAGATTAGTTGATAGCAACTGGGCCACACCTAGCTTTATCAGCTCCCCGCTCCCGCTGTTTACGACTTGTCTTGCAGTCAAGATGGTGTCAGATCTGGAAATGACTGCCCTGCCCGATGAGGTGAGAACACGGTTTTTGATGTATGGAAAGACTGCTTTTTAAAAGTCAAGGCCTCCTGGCTGTTCCTCTGCAAACTACTTTGGCAGCTGTGCTAGAGGCCATGAATATTACATAAGGGCCGTCCATGCATTCCAGCCAGAAGATTTAAGTCACAATTCCCATAGCAACACACAGAGATTTTACTCATCTCGGAAGAAGCAGCCAGCAAGAGTGTCTAATGCCACCCCTGATTTTTTTTTTAAGCAAGATCAACACAGTACTTCTTCTTTTTCCAAAGCAATAATTTTTTTTTTCCAAAAGAAAACCAACCACCATGCGAAATGGGTTCATTTCCAAGTTACCCAGATCCCAAGGGTATACCCAAGACACCGTAAACTTGAACGACAATCTATGCTTTTAGAAATGGTTGCCATTCGAATGACTGCATGGGAAAAAGAATTCACATCGTTATAATTAGTGAAACGAACAACTGTCTTGGTTAATACTGTACTTACAGATCTTATCTCTGATTTCCAGTCCCCCTTCCATAGATACACACTTCATTATATGATGGAGAAGAACAGGTTCCAAGGGAAGAACGCTTTTAACTGATAAAATCTTTTATGGCTTATTTTTGAAAAGCATTATGCAATCTATTTTTTCAATATAAGAAAATACTACTATAGAACATCTGTGGAGTAAAATTTGGGGGAAAAACTGTTCAAGCCTATGAAAATACACATCACCTTGAAGAAAGTTGTTTTTCTGGGCAGAGGAATGGTTTACTGGAAAAATGAAGTGAAATCATTCTGTTACCAGAAGCAGATTTCTCCCCTTTGTATATCTGGGCATCATTTTCTGTGTGTCTAAATAAAATATCCACCTACAGAAATGAGTTGGTTGGATTATAAAACGAGATAAAAGCCAGGACCACTCTTATCTATCACCCTGCCTTTTTCTATCAAGGAAATCAAATACACTCCCTTTCTTGCACTTGTTTAAAATCAGACAATGACACACTGTAAGAGTCCAAACATATGCTTTAAAGGAAACTTCCACAGGTGGCCCATCTCAGACCCGGCATGACTGGCAAAGACCTTGGCAGGAGAGAAATGGTTTTACCTTTGCTTTTTCCAGCTGGGCCTGGGCCTGTCGCTCTGCTTCTCTGCGCACTGCCTCCCGATCTTCCTCCAAAGAAACATCTGAATCGGATGGACGGCTGGTGTAGGAGTCTGCCGAACCCTTGAGAGAAAAATTTGCATTTTAAAACAGATCCCATCTATGATGTTTGCATTGGAAAAGTCTCATTGACACAGCAGTTAGCTTCCTCGACTCTGCTATAAATTCCTGAAAAGAGGAGAAAATAATCCATTTTGTGGCAAGCCATCTAGAAACATCATGCTCTCCTTTGCAGACCATTCCCTGGGATAGTTGCGCCTACCAAGTTACCATTCCTTCCCCAGGCTGAGGGTTCCAAGGACTATGCTTTCTGGAAGCCTGAACAAGTTCCTTTATAATTAAACAGGCTCCGTGGTGCAGTGCCCAGCTGAAGGGCATAGAGGGGTTTCATGGATGGCTTCAAGAAGAGACGACAGGCTAAATCAAGTATTTACAACGGGGAAGAAGATACGACTAACTAAAAAAACATAAAAGAAAGCCTGACGAGTTATAAACTTCAATTCTCTGCCGCAACTCCCCTTTTAACATTAAGCATCCTTCGGTACCTTTCTGTTTACCTGATACCTTCACTGACAAAACTGTAAGACAACAGCAGCCGGCTTCACTCCATCCTCAAGCAACACATTTTTTTTCCCCCATAGCTTTAAACAGACATTTAATAAACGCTGCCTAAAGAAAACACCTGCCCGGGATAGCTTCTCTGGCAATAAATAACAACATAGGAAAAGGAGCTCAGAAAATTACAGGACTCTCCCTCGCTCCCTCTCTTGCAATCAGGCTCAGATTACTAAATCACGGGAGCCCCTGCCAGCACTCACTGGAAGGACAGCAGCAGTAACGACAATATAGAGTCTCCCCCAGATGAAAGCCCTTGAGCTTACACAGATATCCGAATTCTTCAGCCTTCCTCCCTTGGCTCTTTTCAGAAGCCTGACCCAGGTGGCCTTCATTAGCCAGACAGCGCCTTTCTCATCCGCAGCTGCAGCCCCGGGCACAGATCCTGAGTGCGCGCTGAGCCCTGGAGCGCCCCGGCTCCTTTCCTATCCATGCTCTGGGCAAGCCCCTCTTCTCCGTCCCTTCCTGCCTCCGGGGCTTTCACGCCTTACCCCGGAGGACTCTGATCCAAGGAGATTCTTATTTTCCCATTCCGGGCGCGGGGGTGCAAAAAACACCAAAAAACCAAAAAACCAAAAAAACCCAAAAAACCCCCAAACACTCGAATGCCTTATATTGCTTTAAAAATAAAGAACACTTCAAGTGCATTCAAAGACAGGCATCAACTCGTTCTAAACTTGATGCATCTTATCACACTCAATATTCTCTGCTCTGGGATTGTTACAGGAAATTAGTTGTAAGAGAACCTTTAAAAAAAAAAAAACCCTAGTGCAAAACGTATGCAGTGACATTTGCAAGTGCAAAGTTCAAGCCTTATCTTCAGAGATCTGGAGGGGGAGGGCGGAGGACGCACTCACCGCACTGGGCATGCTCCATATGTAGCCTTTTTACGCAGATGCCTACATCACACTGTTAGTCTATGTCAAATTGCCATTTTGCATCCGAAGTGTAAACAGCTGGAAAGGGCTTTTCAGTTCTATAGTAACAGGCACATGGTATGTCTGTCATGTAGCCGTTGCAGTTGAAACATTCTCCAGAGACAAAGCATGCAATCTTTTCATTTAATGATCGCTTTCCATCACCCTGCTGCAGAAAGTATATCCTGTGCCATAAGACAATTCAAAAATAAGCAATATGATACACACGTTATTGGACAGGAGAAACCAATGAAGATGCTTATCAGTCAGAGCATCAACCTGCCCTTGATTGCTTGTGACTTTCCAAACAAGATGCAGGAGACCCATTTGCCCCTTTAATTAGGACATGAAAGTAATCACAGCTCAAAGCAAGGAGTTTAACTGAGCTCAAAATGACTTTGAACTGCTTCTCCAACTGAGACCGTTTGAAAGAAAGTCTGTAGACTGAATAACAGTATGAATTTCCAGAAAAGTAACTATGAAGAAATTGCAAAGCTTGGTTGGTTGCTTAGCTCGAGTTAAGATTTACAGAATAATTTAGTCCAAGTTCTTCTTATAAATAAGGTGACTGAAGTTTGAGAAGATACTAATTTTCTGTACTAATTGGATTGCATTTTTAAAGTTCTCTGAAGAAATACACACTTCTAGATCTCTTAAAGTAAACATAAAATTCCATCACTGCTTTCCAAATTAGTTTTTTTTGGCATGGTGGGGAGGGGATTATTCTGTAAAGTCTCATGCAAATGAAAGATGTTTTTTAAGAAAATCTTTGTTACTTTGTTACTTTTTCTCTCCAACCCAACTTTTTCTCCCCCCAACCTTTCATCTATGGACTAAGACCAATCTTCATGATGTAAATCCTAGAAAATACAGTAGAATAGAGGCTTTTGAATAAAAGTTACAGATTGAATGCACCTTAATTGTGGTATCATAAATCAATGACCAGAATATTTATATTCTTGTGAAATGAATGTAAAATGTATGGGAGATACCGAATGCATTGAAATTTTTTATTCCAATAAGATTCACAACAGGAGACATAGGTATTTTTCCCCCACCAACTCATATCCTAGGGGATCCCTAATCTTCCCAGAGAGTTTCTCAGCAGGAGTAGCATGGTACAAAATTACCAGGAAGCATAACTTTATCCCTAAAAGGGCCTCAGGCCCATTGTCACAAGTGTTGGCATTTTATTTATTTATTTTTAAATTAAATTTAATTTTTTTTCAGTGTTCCAAAAGTGTTGGGATTTTAAACTCAATCACCCTGAGGAAGGTTCAGTTCACACCTCAGTGAGGATACAAAGTTTCTGTCCTTAAGAACCCCCATAATATGGAGAGGAAGAGCCCGACACACACATAATTGTGTGCTATCCCCTTCCCTTCTGAACAAAATAAGATTTAAAAAGTCCTTGGCTAATAATCAGATGTAGCTTTTAATTGCACAATCATGTTGAGACCTGTTTGCAGGTTTAAATAATAAAGCATAAAAAAAAAAAAACAACTCTACAGTGACTTTTGGCAAAGATCTTTTGAATATTTGCAACAATATATTAACTTTTGGTTCTTGTACAATATGAGATGGGACTCTCAACTGATGTGTAATGTAGTTTATAGAGAGTCATGATTCTTCCATCATTCTTTGTATCTGTATTAATAAGAGCAAAATGGCTAAATTGTTTCATTACAGAAGTTGCATGAACCTACTGCAGAGAGAGACACACAAATAACGGTCACTTTCAATTCTCCCACCCAAAGATAACCACTATTAAAGAGAAACATGTTTTAGCCTCCAGAATTCTTGTGTTTTTGAAAGTCACCCTCCCCACATGAGCATTACAATTAATCTGCTTCCTTCTGGGAGTGTGGATTTATGAAGTTAGAAGTAATATATCTAATTAGGCTTTTGCCTTTGGTACCATATGGACTTTCTGGGTCATTCTGCCTCAAGTAGTCTTCAGTCAGGAACAGCTGGCAGGCCATTCCATAACTCCAGAATAGGTTATTACAAGATGTACCCTGGATCTCTTGGGTTGCTACAATGTGATTAGCTGGTCTTTTACAGTTTTGTCCTTGAAGCTACCTCCCATGTTCAGCTACAAATATTTCCTTTTCTACACCTTAATATTCTCATTTCTCATTGTAGAGTTCCAAGATGTAACTTGCAACTTGACATTTACCAAAACTCATTCCGGATCATTCACTTTTATCCTCAGAACTCTTACTCCAAATATGTGTGCATTGCTTACGGGAAAGTTAAATTGGATTAACTCGTGCTTTTTAAAAATTTTTATTATTATTAGTTTTTTAGAGAGGGAGAGAGGAGGTGGTGGGGAGGGGCAGAGGGAGAGGGAGAGACTCTTAAACAGACTCCACCTCGGGGCTCAACCTCACAACCCTGAGCTCATGACCTGAGCTGAAATCAAGAGTCAGATGCTGAACTGACAGGTTCAGGTGCCCCTAACTCACACTTTTTATCTACTCTTCAGTTTTTGTCTTTTTCCAATTTATGCCAAATACATACACAAAAAAAGTGTCACCCTTTTCCTTTAACACCTTTTTTCTATATTTATAAAGTTTGCTTTTTTTGATGCTGTACTCTGTTTCAATCATATATCTTTCCAGCATCATTTTTCTGGAGTGTTCTTTTTCTTGTATTTTCTCTTTTAAAGCCAAAAGGGTAAGAGGTATAAACCTATACAGGAGTAGCATCTTGGATCCCAAAGTGGTCATCTATTTCTGTAGAAAATCTTTATGCTCTTGGGAAAAATAGATTTCTCACAGTATCCCAAGGCTACCCTGATTCTAGATAAATCTATGTTCCATCCCAAACCCTCAAGACTTCAAATGACCCTCCACATGTATAGGACAATGCTAAGCCAATGGCAAGTTTGATTTCCATTGTTTCCTTCTGACCTGCCATGGGATAGATAGACATCGCACTGCCATACTCTTCAGGCCCACTTTCAGAAAAAAGCAAGATGTGATGGACTTCTGAGGCCAAGGACCAATGAGAAGAGTTCTATCTTGTATTATCTGCTTGTATTAGCTGGCAGAGATAATTCTTCTATTTCTCCTATTGTCATCTCTTTTCACAGGTCAGAAGAATTTTTTTTTTTTTTTCTGTGTAGAGATCTGGATCTCTAAGAAAATGAATTGCTAACCCCTGCACTGTTGAGGTTACAACAAAACCATAAACTGTTCACTAATGATAAGATCCTGACTCCAAAAATTTTAAAGTGGTAGACCACTGAGATGAAGTACATTTACATGAATACTGTATACTTTAGTTTGCAAATGTCATGGAATTACTATTCATACCCATTCAATTAATGAAATTCTCAAATGTGATTGGCCTCCCATTTGGCTTAATGTGAAACATTAACCAAGGTCATGGTAATAAATCCACGTGAGTTCATCCCTGTGTGGTAACTTTGATGATTATGAAAAAGCTAAGATATTAGCTTCAATTTTCTCAAGAGCACAGGGAAATTTAGAAACTTTTTTAAATTGCCCTAGGTACTGACAAAAG